AACTCCACACCTTAACCATCAGAAAGACTACTTAATTCAGTCTTCCAACTTCACCCCTTACAACCCCTGATCACTGAAACGATTAGCCATGATCATATCTCCTCTAGGCTGTAATTCTTATGCAACTGTTTTTGCTAGTTTAACCAAAGAAAATTAACTGATTCTCCCATCTTGCACCAAGCCCCATCATTCAATACCTTATTCCCAGACACCACATTGACCTCTCAACTTGTTCAGTGCATTAAAATTAAAGTAATAACAAAAAGAACGACGTATGCTGTAAACCAGAAACAAAAACAGAAGTTGCTGGAAAAGCTCAGCTGGTCTGGCAGCATCTGTGAAGAGAAACCAGAGTTAACGTTTCGGGTCCAATGACCCTTCCTTAGAATTAAAAACTGATGTCCTTGTTTCAGATCCCTCTCTAGCCTTGACTCACCCTACCACCAGGACTGGCTCCAGTCTTGGGTGCATTCCTGTATTTTGAACCACTCAACATGCCCCCTACTCCCCTATCCCCTAAAAACAGTCACCCCCTACTTTAGAACAACTTTTCCAGAAGCTGTGATTTTTGTTTGACCAATCTTCAGTCACCTCTCTTGAAATTCCCAACAACAACTCTCCAACGTTCTCCATTTTCATCAGCGAGGACTTTAGAATGTTATAAAATGCTTTCGACATGTACGAAAAGATAGCATTTGAACAGTGACAGCCCACTGTGTGCAGTTTGTTATTGACAGACTGGGTCTGGGGCTGGAAAGTATTGAAAGGCCTTATCCTCCCGGAGACGTGGAAGTCATTTGGTCCGGTATTGTGTTCTAGTGAGTAGCAGTGTGATACTGCTCAATGAGGTAGGAGCTGCAGTGTGAACAGCTGGCTGTGAGCACATTGTCTTTTGATAGGTAATGATACAGGGATTCAGACACAGTACAGTTTGCTCAAGTTGCCTGGAAGGGCTTTCCCACATCATCGGGGAGGCCAAGTGATTAGGAATACAATGACTTCAGTCACTTGGCTGTAACCCCTCGAGATTCCACTGCATTAATGGCTGAGATGGTAGTTCCGTCAAGTTGGTGGGACGGTGGCTCAACGGTTAGCACTGCTGCCTCTCATTGCTGGCAACGCATGTTCAATTCCAGCCTCAGGCGACTGTCTGTGTGGAGTTTGCGCATTCTCCCCGTGTCTGCGTGGGTTGCCTCCGGGTGCTCCAGTTTCCTCCCTGTGCAGGCTAGGTGGATTGACCATGCTAAATTGCCCATAGTGTCCAGAGATGTGGTGGGTTAGCCATGGGAAGTGCAGATTATAGGGGGTGGGGTGGGGGGGATGCTGCTGGGATGAAGGTCAGTGCAGATTCGATGGGCCAGATGGCCTCTCTGCTTTATGTAAGGATTCTATGGCTACAACATATAGTGCGCACTCATTATTTACCTCATGCATTGAAATGCTTCTCCTGGTGCTGAATTTTCCTGTCTCTCCCCTCAACAGCAAGTATCTGGAGACTATTTTTGAAGAGCCTGTTTTGAAGAAGGGCTCCTTCGTCTGCACGAGTCTCCAGAAACGCAAGCGCCTCTTAGAATTCCAGGACTACACTCTCCCGCGCAAGAGACGGGCGCACGCCAGAGTGAAGTTTCTGAGCCGAACGCGGGGCAGGAAGGCTACCACGCGTGACGGGGAAATTGACTCACTGCTTGTTCAAAAACTGACGGAACTGGAGGCCTTCCTGGCCGAAGAGGACTAAAGTCTCGGCAGAAGTGAACAACCTGTTCTAGACTTGCATTTGCTCCCACGGGTGTCCAGGTCTGTTTACACTACATGCCGGAGGTCAGCACGTTGCACTGTGTGTTCTGCCTTGTTTTCTGGTCCCTGGGGAAGAGAACGGTGCCAAGCTTGAAAGCCACTGCATGCGAAAATAAAACGGGAGGGTGTGTGGGTCTTTTAAACAGCACCTCTGCTGCACGTGAGCGGCGCTGCAAAACAAAAAGGTTCATTTATTTGCAAGGTTACCTGTGGAGAGAGCAACGCAAAGCTGAGCCAAGGAAGGCAATTCCACCTCGCTTGCTCGCTCACTGCCACCCTCACAAGTGAATGAAGCTACTGCTGCTCCCACTTTGCACAGAATTTGAATGTGCTGCAAAACAGATTGTGCTGTCACACGGGGGAAAAGAGTGGCTTGAACGTAGTGCAGAGAGTGTCTCTTAAAGTGTTTACAAAGATTGCAGATCCTGCAGTAAATCTTCAGAGGGCTGGGCTGGATTCACTGCTCAGCAGAGGGCTCAGTTCTGAGTGTCTTCTGGTTGGGATCAGTTAGCCTGGTTGCTGTTTTTGCTTCTATATAATATAGTGTACGTATATTATATATGGATATCTTGAAATAACTTGAGCCTAAAGTGCTGAAAGTAAATATTCCAAAGTAAATATTGAAACACAAATGATTTTTCTGTCTGTCTGTCTGTGTTGCCTAGTAAATGCGTGGGTACAGGTTCCACTGACTCATTGGGAATGGGGGCTAAGCAGTTTGTATCAAACATCCTGCTTCCTCTCCCAGTGAATAAGGTGTAAGCCTCAGCTTGGTTTTGTTTTTGCCAGAGGAGGTACCTGTACGCACCTTTTGGTCCAAATTGATTGTGTCTTCTTTTTTTTTGAAAAAAAAAGTTTTTACACTGGGTGAGAATTTAATTTCTTGCGGTCATGGATTTATGATTACTGCGGATTTCACAAGTTGATGCTGGGTTTTAGCAGTGATTTTGATATTCGGATGCTGGATCATATTGGCAGTAACTGGACATTTCTTGCTCCATTATAGTAACCAGGTTAGGAAAAAGACCTTCTTGAAATTAGTTGATTGGTGTGTCTCCTATGTAGTTATGTTGGAACAGTGCAAGTTACAGTGCAGGGTGGACCAGGAGCAGGACTGTATGATACCGCACCATTTCTCATGCAGGACTCAAGCTTAGACACTTACTGAAGGACTTAAGATTTGTCTTCAATCTCTGTTACAGCTCACACAGTAGCTTCCTCATCTCTGAGCTGCAGGGTTGTCAGCTCAAGGTGCACCCATCAGCCTTAAGCGCCTAATCCAGTCAGACACTTCAGGGTGCTTCTGATTAGAATTGTTCACTGCTGACAGTGCTGCATTACCGATGAGATGTTAAACCGAGGAGTCCTTTTTCCTCAAGGGTGGATATAGAAGACTCCACTGATGTGAAGAATAGCTAGGCAGCTCTTGCAGTGCACTGGCAAATATTGATATATCAATCAACAGTTTACCTGGCTGCTGTGTCTGTATTCGGTAACGTTAATATTGTATAACTATAACAGTGATAATGCTTAAAAAAACTTCACTTGCTGGCAAGCACTTTGGGACATTCTGAAGACATGAAGAGTACTAAAATAAAATGCAGCCTCTTTCTTTCTACAGCTCCCCTGCATCAGCACATCTTAATATAAGGGAACTCCAGCAAAGTGAGACTGTAAGCTCTGTTCTGCACAAGTGGGTTCAGTTGATTTGAAAGTTAGTGAGATCAGCCTGATGTCAGGGAATTTGTGCAGAAAGTACATGGAAACATAAGAATGAGGAGCTGGAGTAGGCCATTTAGCCCTTTGAGCCTGCTCCACCGTTCAATAAGATGCTGGCTGACCTGATTGTAACTTTAAATTCACACTCCCACCTCCCTATGATAACCCGTCACCCACATTGTTTAACATGAATCTATCGACTTCTGCCTTGGAAACATTCAACACCTTTTCAGGGAGAATGATTTAAACACTCACAGCATCCAGGGAATAAGTTCTTTATCTCAGTTCTGAATGATCAACCCCTGACTTTTAACCAGTGACCCCGCTTCCTGGATTCTTCCATAGAGGAAATATCCTCTTAATTCCAATCTGCCGAGACCTTTTATGCTCTTGTATGTTTCATTTAAGTCACCTCTCAGAATTCTGCAGTACGGAAAGAGGCCATTCTGTCTATTGTGTCTATACTGGATCCTGAAAGACCTCGACTAGTCCCATTCTGCAGCTATATCTCTGTAGCCCATTGCTGTTCTAAACTCAAATGAGTACAAGCCCAGTCAGTCCAAGGTTTTGTCCTATAAACCCCCCCAACTCCATTCCACATATTACCCTGATAAACATTCTCTGAACTGCCTCCAAATGTTTACACTTTTCCTTAAATAAGGGTACCAATTCTGCGTACAGTACTCTAGATCCAGTTTCCTCAGTGCCCTGTATAACTGAAACAAAATATCACTTTTTTATTCACTTCTCCTAACAATAAATAATAATGTTCTATTAGTCAGAGACACAGTGTTCATTAATTACTTGCTGCACCTGCATACTAACCTTTTGCAATTCATGCTCTTGGACACCTACATCCCTCTGCTTCTCAGAGCTCTGCAATCTCTCATCATTTAGTTAAGATACTTTTTTTTATTCTTCCTGGCAAAATGTACAATTTCACATTTTCCCACATTATACTCCCATTTACCACATCTTTACCCATTCACTTATCACATCTATAATTCTTTGTAGCTTCCTTACATTCTCTTCTCAACTCCTTTTGCTATTTTTATGTAGTCAGCAAATTGGGTAACCATACCTTCTGTCCCTTTCTCCAAACCATTTATATAAACTGTAGACAGTTGAGGTGCCAGCAAACCACACGCCAACCTGAACAAGACCCATTTGTGCCTACTCTGTGCTCCCGGCCAGCTAGCCAGTCTTCTATCATGCTACTATCATACCCCACTCCACCACAAGCTTTTATTGTCAGCAGTAACCTCTGATTTGATATCTTTTCAAGTGGTTCACGTGTTGAATAGACTTCCAGATAGGAGCAGCCAAAAGATCCCTACCTAGGAAGGTTTTAATAGCTGACTCTTAATAACTGGGTCTTTGAGGTTCATTTTGAATGGGCTGGAATCGGCCAATCTTTCTTTCCTCAGCTTTGCCTCTTCCAGCAGGAGCTCAAGGACACAAGGCGATGGTTTATTTTTAAAGGCTATTTTGTGAAGTTCTATTTAGGGCGGCATGGTGAGTCAGTGGTGAGCACTGCTGCCTCACAGCACAAGGAACTCAGGTTCGATTCCACCCTCAGGCGACTGTATGTGTGGAGTTTACACGTTCTCCCCATGTCTGCCTGGGTTTCCTCCGGATGCTCCGGTTTCCTCCCACAGTCCAAAGGTGTGCAGGGTAGGTGGATTGCCCCTAGTGTGCAGGGATGTGAGGGTAAGTGGGTTAGGCAAAGGGAAATGTAGGGTTGCAGGGATAGCGTAGGGGGTTGGGTCTGGGTGGAATGCTCTTTGGAGGGTCAGTGTGGACTCGATGGGCCAAATGAGCTTTTTCCACACTGTAGGGATTCTATAATTCTATTCTATTCCCATAGCCATCCGCATTTTCAGGGACTGTAAACTGCATAAAAAAACTTGCATTTATGCAGTACTATTCAGAATTCAATGTCCTGTATGTTATGTTTGAGTTGCAGCCACTGTGGTAGGAAACAACGCAGCCAATTTGTGCTGAGCAAGCTCCCACAACCTGCGAGTGAGAGAAATGGCGACTGTTGTCAGCTTCAGTGATACTGGTTGGGTGAGTATTGCCAGGACGTCATGAGAGCTGTCCTGTTTTGCTGTCCTTAAAATGGAATACTTTACATCCACCGGACAGAGCAGGCAAGGTGCTGTTTAATGTCGCTGCCAAAAGATAGTCTTTTTGTCTCTCTCAGTCACTGATCAGTGTCCTAAGATGTGGGATCATGCAGCAATCTTAAAGAGACTGCAGTGCAACAAATCAGTTCCACACAGCATAGTAATTAGTGAGAGTATTGGTGGTATTGACTGGGGAGCAGCCAACTGTGATTATGTGCTGAAGTCTTGCGAGTGAATGCAAAGATTCTGCTCCAGTTTGTGGTTGATGCACGTGAATTTTTAACCTTGAATTACTTTTGCTTCTTTTTGTTCCCCTTCCCTGATTTTTTTTTTTAGAAAGAGTCCAGTCCTGAAATAGTTCTCAAAGCAATAGTTGTTGAAAAGTGGCAGAGATAACATTGGAAATCTTACCAGGACGTGTTGGTACCTCCTTGTCTAATTTGTCACTAGATTTCTCCTCCTTCAGCTTGATGTTGTGTGGGCTGGTGCCTGGTCTATTCAGCACAAAGAAATGTGAGGCATCATCTAAACAAAACCTTTTCTCCATCTCCCGCTCCTTCTTTTCACCCCTGTTCCAGCCTGAACTGGATTGTGGGTAGATGAGGACAGTAGGGGTACGTTTATTTGATGTATTCTCTATATTATTTGATGTTTCTGCTTGCACATTTGATCCAAGCAATCTCTGTCTCATAGCCCACAGAATTGAGGCCTGGTTGTATTTTATCAAATGGACTGATAACAGTAGTTTTACCATGTGACAACACTTCTTTTATTTTAAAACTCAACAGCTTCTGCAAACAGAAATGAGCCGCAGACAAAACCTCAAACTTTTATTAAATCTGTAGTTACTTGAATGTCTTTGTTCTGATGAGATAGCACCAACATTTGGTGATCTGTGTGTGCGTGTGTGTGTGTATTGTATGCACTCTTTTTTTAAAAAAATGTTCCTGAGTTTTTTTTGGAAAAGTACAATGTGAATCTGATCTTCATTTCAAATAAGTTTAAATTAGCAAGCCTTCTTTATTTAATGTAGAGGGAATATGGGTGCAAGCTACTATTTCGTTTTGCCTGCATTCCTGAAAGATTATTCCTGTCTTTTCAGTGTCTCTCGTATCTCGGAAGGAATTGTGGTATAATCAGTACAGTAGCCAAAAGTACCAGGTTTTGAAATAACTCTTCTGCCTAATCACCAGATAATTTTGTTTTTTTGAAAGAAATTAAAAGCTGAAATCTCTGTGGAATCATACTGTGTATTGTTCATGCCTTGCTATGTAGTTTATTGAGAACAGCTCTGCACTCGCACCTTTTTGTAGCCAGGAGCCTGACGTGCAGTCCTGTGGGTGTTGAATAATTGCCAGGAGTGTTCCTCAGAGATGGTTTCTGCACTACCTCATCCAGGCAATTGGTTATTGCCGGTTACTCAACTGGAGCAGGGAGCTGATTCAGGCCAATCCTGCCAGACGCCAGCTCTCTTTCTTTTCTCATACTTATGAATCCCAGTCCAGGGGAACATTGGGAGAATGTAAAATCTCCAATGCAGCCTGGAATGAAAATCAGCTAATTTGGCATAGGCCGGGGCCAAGTCTGTGATATTGGAGGTGACACAGTTACACGGTGAAGTTGTTGGGAAACCTTTGCCCACGCCTGCTCCAGAGAGCGAGAGACTTGGAATCATCTTCCATCTCTTTTGGTTGCCTTTGTAATGCTATTAACTGAGGTTCCAACCTTCGGTTTGACACTAGGAAGGTCATATCTCGAGGATAGTGCTAGTTACTGGGTTGGATTGGTCTTGTCGATCGAAATGTTGTCTTGCACTTGACCAGCTTCTAATCCGTTACACTGCTTTATTGTAAATGTAATTAACCGGTACCTTTTGAGTACCCTGTGATTCATGTGCCCTTTATGTAGACCTTATAATAATCGTGTTCTGTTTGAGAGTTGTCTCTGTATATTTTCAATGATACTAATAAAATCTTTTTTTTAAAATTGGTTGCTTCCTTGATGTGTTAATCAACATGTTAGACTGTGTGAGTTAATTTCTGGAAGAGGATTGAAGCCATTTGGCAAGATGCAATGCCTTCCCTAATGCAAACAAGAACTCCCACCTGTTACCTATCTTGAAAAGCTTCTCAGTACGCAGTTTGATGTAGTGAGCTACATCCTTTACTCTGAAGTGCGAGTTGGAATGCATTGGTGACCGGCTTTGCATTGGGATCTTGTGACTTCTCCACACCATCACCTCTCTGCACAGTGAGTTCTACATTTTGAGCAAGTTGTGTCATGAGGGGAAATTGGATTGCGGGGAAATTGGATTGCAAGGAAATCTGTGCTAATGATGCAGCCAGAGAGAGACAGCAATATCCAACAGTTAAATTAGAGGAGCAAAAATTGCAGGGAAGAGAAAATATTCATCTAAATGAAATAGTAAAAGTCGAATCATTGAAAATTTGTAAGGCATTGGTGGATAAGATTCTTGGTAAGCAAGGTGGTCAAATGTTATCGGGGAGATTCAGGAATTTGGATTTGAGGTTACAATCAGATTGGCCATAATCTTACTAAATGGAAGAGCCAAAATGAGCAGCCAAAATGCATATGCCTTGGTCATGTCCTACATGCATTGGTGATTTATGGAAATACGTACTGTTGGATTAACTTAATTATGCAGCGCCTTTAATGTGTTAAGATGCCCCAAGACATGTTGAGAGCAGGACTGGTGCAGAGCAAAAGGAGGTGTTAAATACTTGGTCAAGGAGTGGATACGTAAACAGCATCTTCAGTAAGGTGTAGGTTTGGGAGACAGCACACCCAGCTCCAGGGGCGTGTTAAAGACACGGCCGACAATGATAAAGCAAAGGAGTGAAATAGGCCAAGAAGGCCTGAATTGAAGAATTCTTGGTAGGTTGTGGGGCAAGGGAAGGTTAGAGCCATAAATAGTGAGGCCACCAAGGAATTTGAACATGATACTGGTGCTTGCAATTTCCTAAACTTCGTCCAAATTCTATCTATTATGTCCTCATGTGACTCATTAGAAGCTGGGAATTCTATCTGATGGATCACCATTTAAACATTTTCAACCTTTTGTAGAAACTGAGAATAGGCTATGGGACTGTGTTATTAACACAAAGTTATTAACACAAACCAGGAGAAAGAGCAATACGGCTGCATTTCAGAGCATTTCCAACTCATAGATAAGTAACTCTACATACACAATTTCCCAATACTTGTCAACACAGAAGGACAAGGAGTTTAGGATGCTGATCTAGCCATCGTACATTAGTTACTTGCTAAAAATACGTACCAAATTAAAGAGACATATTAGAATTTTAATAGGAAGATTGTAAATTTGACATGGTGGAGGGCCAGGAACAAATACAGAACCACAACAATGACCAGGGACATGAGAAGATTTGGAACATGAGAGCAGCCCTCTTGACTTGTTCCACTTCATTATATTGTGGGTCATCTGTATTTGACTTCCATCTGTTCGCCTTGCCATGTATAACACTGAAATATTGTTGCCCAACAGACTCTCACCGTTTTGACATTTTCAGAGTGGGCAGCTTTTTGGGGAAGAAGGATAACCATTACTCCCAGTGTTGACCAATGTTTCCTGGCATCTCCCCTGAATGACTTGCTGTTATTTTGTGCCCCCTCTAAGCTAACCTTTAGAGGGTGAAAGACTGGAAACTGTCTATAGCACCATTGGAACAGCTGAGTTTGGCAATGATGAAGTTGAAAGCCTTAGACTGGAGAATGAGAAATACAAAGGAACAAGTTTGAAGCAGCTATTAAGGCCTTTGTTCTTGCTGGGTTCTTATATTTGAGTTAATGCTGTGCTAAGCAATGCTATGGTAACTTGCTCTTGTTGACCAATGATATACAACTACATGAGGGTGACTGTCATTCAGTTATACTTAAGATATTGCTTATATTAGTATTTTTATTCACTTGGGATTCCAAATGTCGGCCAGCATTTATGGCCCATAGCTGGTAGCACTTTGAGAAGGTGTTGGTGACCCACCAAAACTGACCGGTTTCCTCAACCATTTCAGAGGGCAGTTGTGTTTACCAGATTACTGTGATTCTGGAGTCATGCGTAGGCCAAACCTTCTCAAGGGCAATTATAGATGGGAACAAATGACATAGTAAGATGCTCGCTTCCTCGAAAAGACTTTTTAGAAAACAACAAAGTTGGCAGTCTTCCCTGATGGATATTAGTGAATCAAATTGGTTTTCACCATCACTATTATTAAGGCTAGTTTTTAATTCCAGATGCCTAAATTACTTGTGTGATGATACTATGGCTTGAAGAGGTGTACATTTTTTTTTTAATGAAGAGAGGTTGAGCAGTATGCTCAAAACCAGTAACGTAACCAACTTCTGAGGCCTTTTTCTTGGAACAATAGAAGCAGCATGAAGGGATGGGTCAAGTTCCCACAGAACCAGGATTTTTAGCTGTAGTTAGCTGCAGTTGCTGGGATCTTGAAGATGGATGTGGAACCTCTTATTCCTCTCACTTTTACCAGCTAAAATCTATGGCTTCTCTTCCTGCTGCTAGAATTGCATGTGAGACAATCTATTCGACCGAATTTGCCCTTGCCAAAGGTGTGTTTCTGGGATGTTACTGTATTGGAACAGCTAATGAGTAGTTTATTCTTTTGTTAAGTATTTCGATAGAGTTACAGTTTAGCCAATTTTTAAAAATATTTTTTTCTGTATTGTAACTATAGTCTATGAATAAGTGCTTCAAGCCTGATAGTTTGACCAATTGAATTGCATTCGGAATGCAATGTCTGGCACTAGCCTTTAAAATTAGAAAGGTTAGGGCCTAGGCTATCTCCTTGACATGTTTTGAGGGGGTTTAGTCTGGTCCATAACACTTGTATTTATATTTCCCCAGGGATTTGAACTTGTCTCTCTCAAGCACTAGTCAAAGGTTTTGGGTGACAACTCCAGTGACCTAACCAGTATGCAACTTGTTTCTCTATTAATTATAAAAGTAGTTTCCTTCAAAACACATTCATTTTGAAAAGCGGATGTTATCTGAAGACTTCTAAGAAACTTTCTTCATGATGTCACCTTTAACAGTGTGCATCCAACTGATTTTTGTTTATTTTTACTTGGTGCCAGTCTTCAGCGCTATTTATTTCTCATCAAATGCAAAAAAATCCTTGGATTTATATGGCACCTCACCAAGTCTCAAAGCACTGCACACTAGTTACTATGGAAGTACAGGCACCTTTCTGTGGGGAAGTACAACATTCAGTCTGACACAAGATTCTATAAATAGCAATTAGGTGAGCACACAGTTACTATAATCCTTTTGTAATGTAGGCTGACAGGATTCTATTCAGATGGTGCCTTAGATTTTTAACATGTACATGAGCAACATCATACTCTGAGGGACTGCCCCTCTGGCAGTGCTTATATTACAAATACAATTTGGGACGTTTCCTTTATTCTAGCCTGAAGGGAGTAACTCAGAGAGTGTCTGATTTACACTGTAGTACCTTTCATTCATGCCTCAATCAAAGCTAACAAAAGAATTACTGTAAATTGTAAAAGTGCTCTGGTTTTTCATGAGGTCACTGACGATACAATTCCGATCTATGTTTATACCGTAATCAGCTGTTATAGTTATTCTGCACTCTCCTGAGCCCCTTTTCAGAAAGTGTAACCAGTCATCACTTAGAATTCCTCCAGCCCATCCTAGCCTTCAATCCAAGTAAAATGAAATACTTCTACCAGTACCTCAACTTTACCTCAGTCGACTTCAGAAGGGAGCTGGACTGGGAATTTTATGGTCTGTACTGGTCACTAGTAATCCCACACAGTACTGGCACTGCTAAGCTTCCTGGACTGGTCTGAGCTCCAGGAATTAAAGATAAATCTCAAAGACAGTGCAGCCAGCAACCCTGCAGAAAGATCTTTGGGGCATTATATTTTTAAAAATATTTATTAGTTTTATAAATATAAGGCACATCTTTTTAAAAAAATGCATATTCTGCTCCCAGGGTCACCAGAGACTGTAAGGATGATTTAGGATGTATATTGGGACCCTGTGGAAGTCCTGGTGTGTGGAGAATTGCCTGGGCAAGCTAAAACCTCCAATGGGCATTCCCATCTCCCAGGGCCCCTCATGAATGTCTCCTATTCCTAGTTAAAGTGACGGAAACTTCAGACAGTGTGGATGTATGTACGTGATACTTACCCAGGAACTGTTATACTGATTTACATCTCATCTAACTCCGGGTTAACAACACAATTGTCCCCCAACGACCACCATACCTCTGAACCCTCAACTATCCTCTTCCAGCCACCCAACTACCCTCCCAACACAATTATCCCTTTGACTCAACCTGACTACAACCCACCAACCTCTAACCAAACTTCCTCTCCAACCAAACTTCCTCTCCAACCCAAACTTCCTCTCCAACCCAATTTCGTCTCCAACCCAATTTCGTCTCCAACCCAATTTCGTCTCCAACCCAATTTCGTCTCCAACCCAATTTCGTCTCCAACCCAACTTCCTCTCCAACCCAACTCCCTCTCCAATTCAACTCCCTTACTACCTGATATGAGCTGACTCACTCTCCACTCCCCAGACCATTCGGCTGCCTAACTAATGCCTGGCTTCCTTTCCCAATCCCCCAACCACTCATTTACCCTCCAGCCCTAAACTGATTGTCCTCTCAATCCCCAATAACCCCCCCAACCTCCGACTTGCCCACTTTCCTTTCTCTCCCACCCAATGCAATCTGTGACTTTCAAAGACTAGAAAGTGGCAGTGAGTCGTATGAAAGGAGTCTGTTCCCTGTATTCCCCTGAGTCATTCTGCTCTGGTGGAGAACCCTGAAAGAAACTGTGCTGCATATTTCTGTCATTGCCTTGCCCAGAAATTTGGAAGAATTTATGGGTGCAGTGCCAATCCAACATTGCCTCTGCTCAGTTGCGTGTTCTGGGGCTCAGGCTGATTCAGAATAAGA